CGCGTACCCTTGGCACTAGCTCTTCCCGCTTCAAAGAAGCGCCTGTCTTCCAACCTTCTTACCTGTATCTTGAATTCGCAGCCTGAAATTCCGCAGTATCATAACGAGCCTGCCCACTAATTGTCTGTGCTAAATGAGTTTACTGGACCGAACACTGAAAGATCGTCTCAAATGTGCCATGGAGAACCCCTTTGACGCTTAGTGTACACTCAACTTGAGATGTCGTAACTGTGAATGGATCTCTGAAGCATCGATTAGTTTGATCGCAGTTCGTAAACAAGTTCTAATGGGAACTGAGTTTCAGCATGTCCGTACCTCCCTAAAAATCTGACAAGAAGTCTTCGAAATAACAGTGAACCTTGGTGGGTTGCAAGGGCCCTTGAGATGGAGAAAACCAGCGTTATTGGAAGCATTCGAATGCTATTCAAGTTCATCCGGTACACGGGCCCGAAAAAGCCATCAATCAGTGATACAATAACTGAGGAACGTGGATAATCTATCCATTCTCAGCGTCATTGACTAGCCCGTTCGCCGGAACATTTCGAAGAGCAGTTCAGGAGGCCTTCTGCAATACTGCCGCTTCCCAGATCATCTGAGCGAACGTGGGAAGTAGATCTTCACTCCTCACACTTTGGAAGAGATTCTGCTCAAGCTTTCGTGTTGAAACGAAACAAGACTCTTTGACCCGACTACCTTCCTCTATCTTTGCTTAAAGATGGTGACTCTTTGGTGACTGAACCTACTGCTCTACTTAACACGATTTGGGGCACTAAACAAATGCCTTCAGACTGGCAACTAACAATTGTCGTACCTATCTTCAAAAGGAGTCAGCACACTTTGTGCGAAAGTCATCGAGCCATTAGCCTTATTTCCACTGGTTCCTTCTCACGAACTACTGCTCCACGTGGGAACCGAACCACTGAAAGTCAGCCTGGCTTCGCCCTGGTCGTGGTTGTATCGACCAAATATTTACTCTTCGTCAAGTTTCAGAACGAAGATAAACCTACAGACGACAGACTATGGAGGTTTTCCTTGACTTGAAAGCCACGTTCGACCCTGTTGACCGCGTTAGCTTGTGACCCTGCCTTATTCTTGAAGGGCGTACCAGCTAAACTCCTTTCCATTATGAAGTCCATCTACCGTAATTCCCGAGGCCGTGTAAGGGTCCACGGGAAACTCTCACCTGAGTTCCCCAGGACAAGTGGGGTTCGCCGGGGTTGTCCTATATCTCCTTTCCTCCTCAACTTTGTGATCGAAATGTTCATGAATGACTCGGATCTTTCCGACTATTTTGTAGTGGTATTACTGCCAGTTGATCGACTGACAAACCTGGAACATGCAGACGGCATAATTCTCCTTGGTTCCGATGCATTTGTTATGCAAACATTACTGCGCACTTGTGTGTGTGTGTTCGACGTGTACTTTGCACCTTTAAGGTGCAAAGTACTGTTGCAGGACTGAACCGACACTCCTCCGATTCCAGCTATTTCCCAACAGCCACTGCAAGTGGTGGATCGGTTCACTTACCTTGGTAGCTGTGTCACGTCTAGTGGTCACATCACATAAGAAGTTACTTCACGTGTCGGTAAGGCCCGTGTGGCTTTCCAGAGACTGAACCATCTGTGGAGACGGTAGGATATCCGCCTGTCAGTGAAAGGCAGTGTGTATGACGCTACGGTAAGGCCAGTGTTACTGTATGAATCGGCGACCTGGCCAGTTCGCGGTTAAGATACCAAATACTTTGCCGTGTATGACCATCGGTGCTTGCGGAGTATTACTCGCATTTTCTGGGAACACCGAGCGAGCAATGCTGAGGTCCGTCAGTTGGTTTTTGGGAAGAAGCCTTCTGGTGCCTCACTCGAATGTTTGATGAATCTTAATCGCTTACGTTGGCTAGGCAATGTCCTCCGTATGTCGTTTGACCGGCCTCCTCAGCGTGCATTATGCGCAGTGGCTGCACCAAGTTGGGTGAAACCGCTAATTGGCCAGTCCGTGACGTGGTATTGTGGCATGAAGAAATTGACTGAGAGACTTTATCAGGCAGGTGCTTACCGTCTTCTTGGATGGGGGCCTCGGGATGGTCCACACCAATGGTACAGACCGTATAAGACATGACGCAGTCGGTGGCGTTGCTGCATTCGATTTCTTACATCTGGTTGTTAATTTTTGTTCCCTTCTGATTAATTTAATTCACTTTCATCTTCCATTTTATTTACATTCTATTTGCTTTTATCCCCACTACCTTGTCATTGCTATTTATTGTTATTCACATGGTGTGAGTCGTAGCATCTGGTTCCACAGCATTTCTGCGCCAGGATTTTAGTTGTTCAACTGGACTGAACTGAACTTGCCTCAGTAGCACCCGTGTGATTTTAGTGGTCGCGTTCGGTGTCGGTTTCATTGGCATTGATCTGGTAAGGCGTTAGAGACGATTCATTGTTTTTTTTAATTGGTACTTCTAAATGCTGGTCTGCTGATGAACGGGACAGTTTGTGTGGCCGTACCTAAGTCACAACTTTCTTTCTGCCAGGATTATACTGTAGGATAATAGAACCATTCGAACAATGTAGTGACCAGGTTTGCTTATTGCACCTGTCGATTAATTGCCCTCTGTGTACCTCTGCAGCTTAGTCATTGTCACCGCATGAAATATTTACTGGTTGTCGATTAGTGGATCGAACCCCCCACTGTTGCCTATTTTTTCCTCATTATTTAAAACCGTTCTACAACGTGTGGCTGGCGCTGACCCGCCTAATTTGTCTTCCCCCCCATCGACTATCGGGCACTGAACTTTTCAAGGCTGCCAGACTAATGCGTACAGATTCCTCGGTACTCTTACGCGCCGGCCGCTTAATTCAACCGTTCATCCCTCTGTGTTTATCACACAGCCTTGTGCAGCGCTTGACCATCTAAGGATGACGATGGCATTCTTTGTCCACCTTGAAAGCGAGTACATCTTTTAGTAATCATTATAGTGCGGTAAGAAAGCGAATGCTAGTCGGCATGCATTCCAATGAGTCTTTTTAATAAATGGAACATTCTCAGCTATGTATCAAGTACACCAGCCTGAGATTCCCACCCAGAAGGATACAATGGCCAGTTTTTCTGCGACAGGAACCAGTAGAAAGTAGGTGTTATACCAGCCTGACGTTTATCTGTTGTATCGTGTGCCTGGTGGACCACAGTCCGTCCAAGTGTTCCAAAGCTTTACGGTTTTGTACACCACATGGTTGGAGGCATCCGGTTCTGGATTTGCCTGTCACTGTGGCCTCCTCAGGGAGAGCCACAGCTCGCCTGCGCCTACAGTGGGAAGAACCATGGGTGGTTTGCGCTGCACCACCCACTGCCCCATCCACACATCACATATCCAGTGTAAACCCGAAGGAATAAGACCGTGAGGCATGTGGATGGGAGCCACGTTTCATCAACAGAGCCAGCCCACACTCCTTCCCAGGCAAACACAAGCATGCTGTATTTGAAGAATCAACCGCACACAAGGCAGTGACTGGGCCGGAGTGTGCTCCACACAGAATGGAACCACTCTTCGAGCCTGGCATGGCCACTAGGATCGTGCACCCCGTCCCCTCTAGCAACATCCAACTGTCTCTTAGAGCCGGTATAGACGAGGTGGTGGGTAATAAACAGGTAGGCACCTTGTCAACTTGCACATCAAGCGCAGCAACCGGGGATGTCAAACAACAGCCAATCACTTGAAATGATAATAACAATATATCTATATCGAATAGAGCATACGGACATGCCGACATATCTCTTCGCTAAATTAGCGTACGTAATAAATTGGCTATCAACAAATCCGCGCTAATTTCAACATGTCATAAAGTATATTTTTAACTAATGCCACAAACGCGAGAATGTTATCGATGATAACCACAATTAGCTTAAGCGGCGTGTTCAAGTTATTAGAAGATTATACAGGTGAACGTTAACATGTAAAAATATACAGGCATTAAGACAAGATAGCGAGCCCGCCACTTGAAATAAAGAAACTCGTCACGTAAGCACGCGGTTAGCAAATCGAATGCAACGTACCTACCAACGCTGCGCCGGTTCTGCTTAAATTCTCAGCAGGACCCGTCGTCTTTTCGATGTCGACCCCGAGTGGTGACTCCGTAGGCATGCCGGACTCATGCACTCGTGACCGCATGCGCTACAACCTCGGCGTTGATGGAGTACAGCTCGTCGGCGCCTGTCGCTTCCGCAATTGCCGCTTCTTCCCTGCATGCACGATGGCTTTTTCTTGCACGTCAGCAACTTCCTTCGTGATCAGATCGCGCCATGCACGCTGATCAACCGCCTTCGATTCCCAACGCTACATATGGCGGCAGTAACTGTTCATCAGCGGTGCCAGCAAACATCAGGCTATTCGATGGCTGACGAGTTCCTAATCCCCTCGGGATATTTAGTGCCCCTTTTTAAGATTACTTGGCCATCTGGCCACGGTTATCCCAAAACAGAAAAGCTTATTGGGGTAACATTGGTTACCAAGATAGTAACATAATGCATGATAAATGTGTTTGGTTAACATCTGTTATGTCTACTATTACTTTTTCACAAAGAGACAACACAGAGGGTGGTACTTACACTGTCTCAGAAACTTAATTCATATTTGTAAGTATACCGTATGTTAACTACGTCTCATGACACCGGCCATCTTTGACAAGAAGTATACTCAAGGCTGAATATTCCAGTTCGTCACAAAAGGATCTCAAATTTATGAAAAATGCATTTTCAGCGCATGAAACCAACTTTACTGCACACAAATTAATAAAAATAAGTGTAATCTCAGTTTTATATTTTTTTATGTTGACCCATTTACCCCAAAAGGCCAATGCCACCCCATTTTGCGGTACTAAATCTACCGCCTCTCCCCCCCCCCAAAATGCTGCGACCCTGGATAGTCGCTTAGATATTTCTGATGAAATCAACACAATTGAATGGGGCACACCGTACACGTTCGCGCCCTCCATTGTATTTTACAGGTACTATGGGATGCTCAGTCTCTGGCGGCCGAGGCTCGTGCCGCATGGCGCTTCACGGATACCGCCTCGTTTACCCTCATCTGCCGCCAATGCCAGCTGCCGTTGATTGGACAAAGCGCTGCCCAGACACACGCTAAAGAGACTGGACACGATCAGTTCAGTGAGATACCAGCCTCTTAAACCTGTTATCAATGCTCCTATACCATCTCCTACGCCGTGCCGGCCCTCGTTCCTCCCCGTAAAACTATTTCCCGTCTCTACTCCTCACTTTCTGACATTTGCTTAGCCAACAGCAAAACTCCATTTTAGTTTTAGTTCTCTTGTTTGACTGCGTTTCTTCAGGGGAGCAAGTCTATTGTCCATTTTCTGACTCCCAATGCACTCCGCTCAAGCATTATTTTTCATGGTAGATTTTCGTTTTTTTTGAGATATGAGCTGTGTTCTTTCCATAACAACACTCCAATAAAACATGTAATTCTTCAGCTGATTCGCACTTACTCATTTTAAAAATTGAAGACTATCAGTAATCCTACTACTCGACTTTTCGATCATTCGGATAGGCAGGCCTTGTCATTCTTTCCTCAAGCTACTCTGTAACTACCCGGTCTCCGTTTTTTTTTCAACTGTCTGTCACAGCTACTCATCATCGATTCAGTTTACCAAACGATGAGATGGAGAGATTCCAATGATTTAAAAACTATGAATAGCACCCAAACAAACCATCAACAGAATAGCCCGAGCGAACCCATTTCACGGTTCGCTCAAATCTACCAGCAACCTCCAACGAACGGGTGAAGGTCAGTCCAGGTCACCTGCTCGTCCATCATTGGTGAACGCCAAATCAATGAGATTGAACTCGGCACACTAACGCACTGAGGAAGTCACCTCGTTCGGCAATGAATCGTTTGCTATTCAATTACCAAACTCGACGAGCACGTACAAACCGGAATCCTCAACAGCAGTAGTACATTAGTGATTTAAACTAAGGTTTCGCTGTCGTACAACCAATGTGAACTTGGGAATGAGGAATACATGAATGAAGAGAACAGGGACCTTGTGTAAAATCTACTTTGAAATACTCAAGCAGAATGCCCATTTGTTACGTCAAGTTCAGAAAGAGAGACAAAACACGAAGCGTTAAGCGAACAGTTGTTTTCGATTAATTCTTCGTCAGGCTCATACAATAATATACATTAGGGTAAGGTCTGTTGTAATCGTCAGTATAACAAAGAAACAATTGATCAGAAAATGTAACTTGTGATCATGATGGCAGTCATCTGATCGCATGAATGAAGTCAGGTGGAATTGCGGGGTATCATCACTTCCCGTCTGGTTGTCGGCCACGGAAGTTGTAGTGTTTGAATCGTCTTCTTCTGGACACACAAGTTCGGGTTTGTCAGACGTATGCATACTGCCTCAGCGATGGCAAGTAGGCTTGCTCTTACACGATAGTTATGCCTTAGTGGTATTCTGTAGTGAATCTGAAAGGATGTTTGTTTATTTGGTGACCTGCGTTGATTAGATGGTTCGTACTCGCGCTGTAGTTTGTCCTATTCTCGCGATTGTTGATCCAACCTGGGAGGTGTTCCTTAATTCTCCTACCTAAATGCCTGGTCGTCCGTCCAATGTACCTGGCCCCGCACGGGCAGGTGAACCGGTAGATTAACATTGATTCGAGATGATCAGGCACTCGGTCTTTGAATCTCGGAATTAGCAAAGGTCTGCTCGTGAAAACCACATTCAGCTGAGCCGCATTCAAGCTCCTTTTACAGCTTTGATGTAGTCGACGCGTGCATGCCTCGGCCGCACTATTTCCTTTGAATGAAAGAGTCAGGTAAAGCTGTTTCTTTTCAACTATTTGTTTTGGTACTTTTTGGATGCATCGCATCATATGGGTCTCGATAAATCGTTCCGGATCTCCATTTTCGAGGAGCATTTCTTTGATTCGTACGAGTTCGGCTTTTATGGTATCTACGCTGCAGATTCTGTATGCCCGATCAGTTAGTGTTCGCACCAGCGTTCTTTTTTGGCTGAGTGGGGCGAAACTGAAAGTTCATGTATTGTCCCGTCCAATATGCTTTCTTGTATACTTTTATTTGGATTGATCCGTCGGTTCTTCTGAAAAGACTTGCGTCCAAAAAATTCATTTGGTTGTTGTTTTCTTCCTCAGTTGTAAATGCGGCATTAGGGTGCGCATTGCTGAAACGGTCGATTATATCCTGGAGTTTAATTGTCCGATCACTTATACCAAATATATCATCCACATAACGCCGATAGAATTTCAGACCTGATATGACCTGTTTTAATGGACCGCTTTCTAACATTCCCATACAAATATCCGCTAACAATGGACCAAGCGGAGATCCCATTGCAACGTCATCAATCTGTCTATGAAACTCACTATTGAATTGAAATTGAATGTTGTACGTACATCTGTATCATTTGTTTCAGTTGGTTGGTTCGTATACCGATGTTTGTCCCATGCTGGTCAATGTACGAGCACAGATAGTTAACTGTTTCTCTCAGAGGCACGTTGGTAAACAATGCAACAACGTCTAAGGAAAACATCCGATACTCTTGGACATTCATATATCGGATTTCGTTGACGGACTGGAATGCATCTGCCAGTCCATGAGGAGCAATCATTTGCCTGATGGGATTCAACATTTTTGTCAACCATTGCACAATGTTGTAATGATACTACACAATTCCACCTGACTTCAGTCATATGATCAGATGACTGCCATCATGATCACAAGTTACATTTTCTGATCAATTGTTTGCTCTACTGACAATTGCAACTGACCTTACCCTAATGTATACTTTGAAATATTCTGGGTCAAGGCAGCTGCACTTTGTCACTAACATATGATCACAAACAGCTGACCAACATGTGAAAATGTGCTATCAATGAGATAACTTCATTGTGGGTTTCACTGACCCACTTAATAATTAGTCATTATCCCTCAGATAACTTAGTACCAGGTACACTTTAAACTGACTGTGCGGCGAGTAGATGACTGTTTTGTGCGCAAATCACATCTTTCGGAACATTCTTCACTCTTCCTGCGTATGTCGCAGTGCCACGAATTCCTGCGGCGATTTGATCCAGTTAACTCATTTTCAAGAGTTGCTTGCCTTTTCGTTCGTTTTTCAACTGCCATACGGATGACCAACACACCATACCGCCAAAACGACTTACAGACGGCACGTTGTGGACAGTAGACTTTCTCACTGCAGACATAAGGAAATCGCTTAGCGCCATGAAACCCTCCCTTAACTGTGGTCCTGATAGCATTCCATCAGCTTTACTGAAATACGGAGGTCCTGATATCCTAATTCTTTTGTAGAACATATTTACCTTGTCAATGTAGGTCAGCACTGTTCCGTATCACTGAAAACACGCTGATGTTGTACCAAAATATAGAAAAGGTTCAAAACGGGATGTTACAAATTACCGTCCGAGTAGCCATACTTCCGTACTTCTTAAAACTATGGAGAGGATTATAAAGGCTATGACTTCCCAGTTTTTAATATCAAGGAACTTAATCAGCCAATCACGACATGGCTTTATTAAACAGCGTTCTTCTCAGTCTTACCAACTAGACTTCTTAAACCACATCACAAGCTCAGTCGACGGTGGTAACGCTTATATGGTCATATTCCTTGAGATGCAAAAGGCTTTTGACTAAGTGCCCCATGGTAGGTTTGTGACCACTCTAGCGGGGTATGGCATTGCTGACCCTCTACATTCTTGGTTCTCCTTATACTTAACCGATAGAACCCAAGCAGTCAAGATAGGTAATCACACATCAGGTCGCACCACTATGACAAGTGGCGTCATTCAAGGCAGCGTTCTGGGACCACTTCTCTTCTTGATGTATATGAATGACATTTTTGACGTTATTGTATCTGGTAGGCCCTACATGTTTACAGACGATGTAAGAGTTATGTACACATTTGATCACAGGAATGAAGAGTCGGTGTTTCGAAACATACGAACTGACCTGAATGCACTTGAAGTGTGGTGTTTTACTTCAAAAATGAATTTCTCCGTCGGAAAAAGTAATGCCATCTCATACAAATATGATATGAATGTCCAACCGCTAACCTTCTTCGATAAACCCCTAGCATATGGTAACCAAATAAGAGACTTAGGGCTTCACTACTCCAGCATCCTGAACTTCTCTGAACATGTACAATACCCTATCTCTAAAGCCAATACAAAATGCACTGTTTCTCAAACTCTTCACCTTAACAAATGCTAAACGCATTGTACAAAACTTGCACGCGCCCGATGTTAGTGTACTGCTGTACGGTATTCAGTAATGCAAGACAGCGACACTAGAGCGCGTTCAGCGTCCTTTTACAAGACAGATCCTGGGCTCTACTCAGTTAACATACTCTGAACGTCGTAAATTGCTGATGTTGGACCCAATATGGCTGCGTAGAATAAAGCTAAACATATCGCTGCTTTTTGATGTAATTCATGGACGCATTCATTTACCTGGATACTCTCCCAAATTACAATACACTAAACGTTATCTTAGCCGTAATAAAAGCTGCACACGTACGATTGCAAAGTCGAGCACCAACATGCGGACAAACTTTTTCCTTATTAGATATGCGTTGATTTTGAATCGTTTCCCACTGCACATTAGATCATGCACATGTCCTCACATCTTCCATGTATAGATAGATAAATTTCTCACAGTCCGTAAACCTATGAAATTTTTCAAACTGAATATCGCTGAGACAGAGATTTATCAGAAGGGACCAATGCGCATATAATGCATATCAGTGAAACCTCTGTGGTACCGTTAAAAGCTTCACTGACATCACAGAAGGCAAAAAAAGAAAGAAAAAGGACCAAATTTTCATGCCTAATATTCCAAAGTTTACCACTTTCTCTCCTTACCTGGCCATACCAACCTCAAGGCATCCATGTCAGTATGGTACCTAGAGAGGTGTTAAACCGAGTCCTCTTTCTCATTCATCCGACCAATGTTATATTTTTTTCCTTACTCGGCCGAATCGAGCTCGAAACTTTCATGCCCACATGGAAGTCGACGATGGAAAGTAAACCGAGTCCTCGTTTTCACTCCTCGGACCCCTGTTATATCCTCTCATTAACCGGCCATGCCTATCTCAAGGCCTTCATGACCACATAGGTGCCAATGAAGAAGGTCAACCGAGTACTCATCCTCTTCTACCCGATGACTATTACAGTAATGTTTTTCAATCATCTTGCAAAGAGCGTTGATTTCTATTGCTTACTCTGTCACCGATACTCATGCACGCGTATTAAGGCACCATAAAAGATAGACCTGCCATAGGCCTACCCAAACCAGTGTTTGAGTACCGCCTCCGCTACAGATCCCGAAATAGTGGCAGGCATATTGGCAATATATAGGAATACAACCCTGACCCATTGTAATGTTAGACAATATCGAATCTACTCTCATTAGCTAACGTGCATGCTTCTCCTACGTATGTTTAATCACTGTTTGCTGATGATCACATTATTAGCGG